CCATTTCAAGTTAAAAGAATTTCAATTTCAAATTTTTTTTAACTTACATGATACATGACAGAACTCACTGAATGCTTGCTTTTATCCAAAATTACAAGATTTATTAATGCAAGAGTCTTTAACACCATACATTTACATGCTTTCACTGCCAAATTGCATACCATATGGGGGGGGGGGGGGGGGGGGGGTTGTAGCTACAGAAGATGGGGTCGTGGAAAGGAGAGACAGAGTGAGCGAGGAAGAGGTAGAAAGTTGCAGACATGGAGAAGGCAAGGTAGGGTTGTAGGCAGGTTCATTAAACATGAACAAAGAACATGAATGCTCAGCATGAGAAACAATCAAAAAACATTTGTCAATTGAAAATAACTTCAACTTTACATGAAATATCAAAGCAGTTTATTTCTTAGTCCATGGACTCTGGCTGAGCATTGGTCTGGTTTAATGTTCATGATGACCTTCTGTAGGAACTCAAAGGAGTACCTCATATTTTTGGGGTATTCAAGGTTAAGGCAGTAGATGGCGCCTAGTAACATGGCAAAGCCAGTGGGTACATCTCTGATGTCATGTAGGATGATCTTCTCCTCCACTACCACAGCCACATTGAAGACATTCAAAGGGAATGCATCCTGCAGAGAGCCTTCATGTCCAATCAGCAGTCCAACTTCCATCCCTTTCATTATCATGTCAAGGGTTTCCCCATAAGCCTAAAGACAAAGACATACACATCTTAACTTCTCCAAGTTTAAGACATCCCTAACATTTTAATTAAGGTTATATCTATATTTGAAGTGAGTGTGAGTGAGTGTTGAAAAATAATGGGTCTGAAAGTCTGTGTATCAACCAACAATAAATAAAAATGATTCCTGCAAATACAAAACTTGATTAAAAAAAAAAAACTCTGGGAGATGAAACTAACAACGTGTTGTACAGTGGGGTGATGGCAAGATTCCTCAGCAAGGCTATTTAGACAGTCCTTGATGTACTGTATTTTCCATACTATACATCGCTCTGGAGCATAACTCGCATTAGTCAAACAATGTGTCATGGAGAGGAAAAAAAACATATGTAAGGGGCTCTGGAGTTAAACTTGACTTGCAGTCCAGAAAATACAGTAAATACTTGCTGATGCAAACTTTTCATTACATTAGCTTTTAAATTCAAATTCTAAAATACTTTATCCCAAAGGGAAATTAAATGTTTATGTAACTCATTTAATTAAGGAGTTAATTGATTAAGATTTCATTAGGACATTTAAAAAAATGATTGCATGACTGAGTAGTAGGCTACATTTGTTTCTGTTGATTGTGTTACATGATAGTTATAAGTTAAGTCAAGTTGCATGTCCCCTAGTTTTGACTATATGCATTTGGAAGAGTGTAGTACAGTACAGTGTGTAAATTTAGGGTCTTCACACATCCTGATTACGTTGGAGGAGTCATCTGAAAAGTAGCATAGGACACCAAGAAGGGCCGCCGTTCTCTGGTTTTGGTTTGTGTCCTACCAAAACAGGTAATGGTATGTGAATGCAATAATAAAGCTTGAACCATAATCTTCATACAGACTGACAGAATAAGTTTCTTATACAGTACACGCCTCCTTTTGAAGACAATCCAGAATGCTGTTCAGGGCCATCCTCCTGCCCGATGCAGCAGCTGCTTTGTAAAGTTGTAGAAGACTGGGCATGAATGCATCAAGTCCACCAAAAAAGGATTCCAGCAGGTCTTTAGTGACAATTCTGCGGAACTCCGCAATTAGCTGAAGCAGATGGGAAACAAAATAGCACAGAAAAGGGCATGAGTGAAGGAGATATAAGAGAAGCATAGAACTGTGAGAACAGAAACTCAAAGAATTAAATTATTGCAACAAAGTACATGTTTTGACTATATGAGTTATAAAGTCACAAAAATTAAGATTTTTATGCTGTATTTAGTTGCCCAAGGATTACCTGTTGCTCACTAAACAATGCAGGCCATCTGTCCTTGACGAGAGAGATAAGAGGTTCATCACCAATTATTTCTTGTCTCCGCTACTCTTCCTTGCCCATTGGAGGAAAACGCACAAAACTTACATTTCCACCTCATGAACTTGAAATCCTTGTTCACTTCTGTGAACAAAAATGATTTGCATCTTAAAAAATGAAACCCAGTTATTTATTTATATATTTTGTACACAAATTCTTCGCAGCAGAGAGGGGTAAGCAGCGCCACTCAGACAGTGATTGACAGCCCTAAGACCTGCCTCCTGGCTCAATTTTTTCCACAGACTATCATGACATAGTGACAGTTTCAACAAATATGTAGAAAATATTTCTATATATTTAAAAGTTGCATACTGCAGCTTTAATTCACTATTTCTGCAAGCTCCATCTGTCTATGCAAAAGATACTGGAGGGGCATCGAGAGCGGACGTCTCTGTTTAACAAGTGTTTGAAGAATGCGCTGTTCCGTCTCTTGAGGAATTAGGATACATTTTACTCCTGTATATTATTTTAAAATGGCAGTCAGCATCTGCTCTGCTTTCTGCTGCATCCCGCTTTCATGCTAAAGTCCACCAAACATGTTCCACACATGTGCGCACACAAGGGGAAAAGGAAAAAATGCGAGGGAAGAAAAATGTTTGCAGAGTTTTTAGTCTACTGCATGATCTGCACCAACACAAATTACCTGCTTTAAATCGGTTAATTTTACATTATGAAATGTATTATCCTAGTTATTGGTCAATACAAGCAGTAACCAAAGCATGAGCGCTGTGCCCCATTTGTGAAAAAGCTGTTTCATATTGAACATTCACAGTAAGCTAACGCCATTTTATAGCCTTGACAGTTTGCTAACTAGCTAGCTCATGCTCCGGTGAATGCTAGAGAAACTAAGTGAATTTAATAGCACAAGAAAACAACGTGTATAACGATCACATTAAAACACTGTACCGGTTATCTAATTCATAATATTGTTTTAAAAGCTGACCGAATACGTTTTAATCTGTCTAGCAAAGCGGCGGAGGGTATTAGCTGGTAGCCAAACCTGGAAATTAATTTTTTTCCCAGGCTATTAAAAAGCACAGTCTACATGGTTACTGTTGTATTTTTTTTTATTTTTTTTTTACGTTACTGCACAGAAGGTTAATAGAAAAATAGTGGATGTAGATTATTAAACTCACCTGGCACTGATGCTGCATGAAGAATCCAATGGCACTGGTCCTCTTCGCGGGTACAGACAAGTGTATTGTTCCGCCTACTGTGACGGACAGTTGTCAGAGAAATGATCTTCTTCCGCTGGTGGAAGTAGTCCTTTAAAAATCCTTTTTCCAACGGCGAAATGTGTATATTTTGGATGAAATTTGATATATGATTTATTTGCAGTGTATAAAGTATTTTTTCCATTCTTCAGTGTTGCTTTGGTTTAAGGAAGGCAGGTTAACTAAAAAGTCATTGACATTTTTTTTTCTCTGTTGCTACAATCCCTCACTCCCTCCTTTTTTCCCCTCTCCTGTTTTAAATTGATGACTTACAAATGTAAGTTCAATCAAATCTGACAAATTCCCAAATATTCAACACAATGAATAACTAAGTTTTACTGTCCCGCCTTTTTTCCTTCCCTTTTTTCTCCCAACTTCTGACTTACAGACTCAAAGTTCAATCAACACATACAAATCTGACAAATTTCTCTAATAGTCAACACAATAGATTGCTGTAAGTTTTATTTTGTAAAACTCATAAAATAGAGTTCAAAATCTAAAAATTGTCAGAGCTCTTTGAGTTAAATAAATGTAGTAAGTGGATTTAACTATATGAGGCTTTAATGTTTACAGTGTAGTTACCCCGTCTACATGTTAATTAGCATCATAAACGCTAATTTTAAACACAACAGCCACTTATGACTTCTTAATATCACACATACGACCTGCCTCTTCAAATAGCATTTCCGCCTCTACCTTTAAAAAAATCTCCACCCCTAAAAGAGTGGTGGGGGTGAGTGCCGAGCTAACCAGGCAGTCGTATGCTGGCAGGAGCCCACAGGCAGCGGCCATGAACAGACGGAAGAGACGCCTGGAGGTTTCTCATGTGTAGTCATACAGTGAATTCAGAGAAGAGTCGGCTCTGAACCGTCAAATGGTAAATGGACTGTACTTATATAGCGCCTTTCTATCTTATTTCAAGATACTCAAAGCGCTTTACACTACAATCTGTGTCCTCATTTACCCATTTATACAGCACTCTACTAGATCTCTACAAAGCTAATGGAACAAATCATTCTAATGAGACTAATCAGTGCTTGAGATCACATTCATACACTGATGTGACACACATCAGAGGCTAAGAGGTGTTCAGTGTCTTGCCCAGGGACACATCAGCATGTGACTGCTGGTGGATTCGAACCCCCAACTCTCGCATTGGAGGACGACTGCTCTAACCACTCAGCCACAGCTGCTCCAGTAAAGGTGGGTGTTAGGATGCTTGACAGAAGTGGAGTGTTTACAAATGAAGGTAAACGGAGATGTTTGACAATCTGTTAAAATACACCCAAATTCAGGAAATCGCATCTACTTTATTCAAAATTTTCTGGGGGAGGACCCCCACACCAGCTTGCCTGCTATTTGCATTCCGGCATTGATCAGTTTACAAATTAAGCCCTGAGTGGCACCAGTAGCAGCTTACCAAATGTGCTTATTCCTCCCCAGCTGTGGGTTCAGTTTGAATGGTTCCGATAAACAGTGCTAAGACCAGAGGGAGGAGGGAGAGCCCTTGATGAGTTTCTACAAAACAAACTTTTTAATTTCAGGAAGCTGGAAACAGATCAGAACCAAGGCAGAACAAGCACTGGGAGTTTCTTTACTTGTAGTCCATTGACTTATTGTAATTGCCTGTCCTCCACAAAGCTTTGTGTTCTTAAATGTGATGATGTCTTCTTGTACAACAGTGGCTAGGTTCTTTTTTCCTCCATCTATATTAATATTATTTATTTTAGTTGAAATATAAAATATTTCTTGTTATTTGTTTCTAGGAGACTCATCCTCATCCGGAGTTCTATGAGAGGATCGTTCCTACACTGCGACACAAGGTTGGATTACATTGTAACATTCATCTGTTTTATGATTGTGAATTACACAGAACAGAACTCATGTTTGACTGGATTACAATTTTAGTAACTTAAACAAGACATAATCCATTCTTTATGGAACAGGTCTCCCAAGTATATTTTCACAAACTCATTTCATATTAGGGTAATGTTGAATTGTCCCAAAGTCAATTTAATATAAAGACATGTGATTTTATAATTTTTATATGCGGAGCAGAGTAGTTGAGTCACGACCTGGCTGATCTGACCAAACTTACTGCATGAAAAGATTTTAATCATTTGACTTTTAGATGTACCACCACCTGGTACTGGCTTGAGATGTGAACAATGGTGGTCTGTACCATTTCTCCCCTGAGCTGTATTATAACAGAGATAATCATTCAAGCACCATGATTAGGGGTGGGGGGTGAAGGGAAATAGTTGAATAATGGGTCGTCTTCCTCCAATCAACTCATACAACAAAACTGTGATGGACCGAGTTGAAAAGCAAGAGGAGTCACAGGAAATATTAGAAAAACAGTTTTTATTTTAACCCCAAAAAATAAAGCTTTACAAAAAAAATAATCCTGAGCTCAAAGGCATTAGAAGCATCTATAATGTGGGGGGGACACACTGATGTGTGTAGGCTTGTGCGTGCGCATGCATGTGTGCACACGCAAAAAAGTGTACACTAGTGTACAAAAAAGCAGCATTTCACCTAGATTTCCTTTAATTCCACAGATTTAAAGCATGTTTCTCACCAAGTTTGTATAAATTCAGCTGTGTGTTTTATAAAGACATTTGAACTTTAATACAGAAAGTCAGGTAAACACTATTTGTGGTTATAGAGAAATAAAAAACATCACCACTAGACTTTTATGCTTGTGTTCAACACTACTCATCTAAATGATGTTTCTCACGAAGCTTGATGACAATAAGGTGTGGGGTTTTAAAGACATTTCAACTTTAATGCACCTGAACACACAGCGTCTCTTACACCTGCAGGGTCTTACAGCGTCACAGCTACTGCTCAGCTAAGATGCTACAGACGTAGCTCTCCTCTCAAGCATCCTCCTAACCATGGATAAATGTTTATGATCGACCCCCCGGTCAACAACTGCCCGCACTAAGCTCGCTAAACTGGCAAGCGAGCAACATAGAGGTGTCTCCACCTCCTCCACCTGTGCACGTTTTCTGCCGAAGCAGGAGACTCAGCAGAAACACTGCAGGCAGCAGGCTGCTGTGTTTATAGTTGGAGGTAACCAGGAAAACCTCGAGTGGAGTTTTAGTGGCTTGAGTATTCTCCCATTAATCAAGTAGAATAGATTTGTTCACAAAGAAAGAGAAACTGTGCCACCTGAACTAATGTTTCATAGTAAAAGTGTGTGTGTGTGTGTGTGTGGGGGGGGGGGGGGGGGGGGCGCAAATGAACGCTTTTTTAATGTGGGGGAGACATGTCCCCTTCACATATAATGGTTGTGACACCTATGGCTGAGCTCATGAAAGAGGTCAAAGGAACAAAACTGAACTCAGGCAAAAATGTGAACAAACTGGCTGTACAAACAAACATCACTGACCTCCTGAAAAAATGACACAGGGGTATATATACTGGCTGATCAGACCATTAAGACACAATAGGGGTAACTAAACAGAATACAATCACCAACTACAACAACCAACATAGTACAGTTAAGTTTGATAATAAACTAAACACCAAAAGTGGAAATTAAATATATTAAACTTTAAATAAAAATATTCACTTAACTACAAAAGCTCTTAAATAAAGAAACTACAAGTTCCCCCTGGTGGTGCAGTCCAATCAGCTCCATGTATTTAAGTGTGCCAAGCTCTGGTCACCATATTTTGTCTGGCCAGGGATCACGGAAGGTAAGAACTGGTAAAAGAAACAAGAATTAATCACAAGAACAAAAAATGAACAATGAGTTGAAATAAATACATAAGTAAACTAAATGTGTGCGCTTACAGACAAAACAAACGTTTCTAAACCAACCAATAAATATTTTATTACAAACTAAAATGTTGTTTGGATGAGAAATAAATGGTGCATGTAAGAGTTACCAACTTTAGAGTGTGGCCATGGGTTTGGCCATCACACACTCCCCCACTTCTTGGTCTTCACTCTGGCAGCGAGACAGGTAATCAGCAGTGGCGTTGTCTTTGTCGGGGATGTAATGAACCTTAAACCGGAATGGCTGCATGGCAAGATACCATTAGTGTCCATCATTCTTTCTAGCCACTGCAGGGCTCTGTGATCAGTTTGAAGGATGAATTATCTTCCAAGCAAATAATACTTGAATGAGTCAAGGGCCCATTTGATCAATGCTTCCTTCTCCACAGTTGCATACTGTCTCTCCCTTCGTAACAGCTTACAGCTGATGTCGGCAACTGACTAATACACCAACAAAACAATAATCAGAATGACTAAACCATGCACCAAACACCTGCTGAAGGAACTCCACAAAACATCAAATAGGCACAAACGAATCAAAGCTAGAAAAGTTGAAACATTAGTGTTTCTAATTTGGTCTTATGTGGCCATTTATCTTAAATGAGGTCATCTCAAACGTCTGGTGAGACCAGTGAGAGCATAAGTGAGAAAGTGTTTGGGTCATTTTAGCTGCCTTAGCAGCTACAGGGCTGTATGTGAATGAATCCTAATTTCTGCCTTTATTTGGAAAGGTGGAGGAGTGTAGGCAGATATTTTGGTGGCTCGGCTTTAGAGGCTGCCACCCAGTGACGTGTAGCATTAACATAGGTCAACGTATGAAAATATAACAAATATGACACAGTGCGAGTTGCATAAGTTAAGAGTAAGACTAAGTCTTGACCAGCTTGTCTGTTCACAGATAACTAAAGCAAAACTTGTGTCCATATCCCAGTACAAAGTTGAAATGGTCCAGGTGTGGAATGGACTCGTTAATAAATTTCATAATTGTCAGTTGACTGGTACATGACATGTTTTGCTAACAAACAATTTAAGCCCACAGATAAAGCCAAACTTTTAGGCAAAGAACTTTTAAGCAAAGAGCAAAAATCTTGTCCAGTTTAGAGAACTTATTGTTTAGATGCCCACTTTGGGGATGATAATGACAATATTTGTAAAACTGTACAAATTTTAGCTTTTTTTGCATTGACGAAGGTTGCTTCTCTGTGGAAACCATTTTGAATCTTTTTTTTTTGTTTGGACAAGGTAATCATCTCTGGTTTTATGAATCCGTTATATCCATTATATTCACATTTATGGTCAAGTGTAGGGTCACTAACAGTCAGCTTATCTCTTTTCAGGATGTGGGTTTGAACACCGACACTATGTCCTGTACCGCCTTCTCCACTTCAGGTCCACACAGTCAGGCCAAGTCTCTGGCTTTGCCCCTGCAGCACCCCTCCTGCACGGACAGCAGCCATGGACGGTCCCTTTCCACTACCAACAAAAGTGTCAAGCCCACAAAGAAATGTGCCACCACCTCTAACAAACATCCAGGTGAGAAAAGAACTGTGCTTTTATTGCAGCAGGTATTAAAACAGTTCAGTCTTAGTGGCAGTGTTAAAGTTCAAGTTATGTTTATTTGTCACATGGAGGTTAATAGTACAATGAATTGTTCAGGATAAGAAGAACCAATGTGAAGACCAGATTGCAGTTTGTTTTGTTCTGAAGAAGCAAATATAGCATCTGCTCTTCCTAATGAGGACCAGACCTCCAGAGTCCTGAAGATGACTTTTACAGCTTACCAAGGACATAGTTTTATCTCAGTAATGTTTTACATCATATTTGTAGCCAAGGTTAAGCAAAAAAACAAAAAACTTGTGGCCAACTTGAATTAGGCTATATCCAGAAGTTATCAATGTACATCTAATGATTAGTTCATGAAAGTTTCAATAAAATCTGCTCAGTGTTTCATGAGGTCTTTTACTAGGTAGACAAGGTTGGTGACAAAAGTTAAAGGCAGAGTTTTAGACAAAGATATTAATAATAGCAATAATAATGCATTTTATTTGTAGTCACCTTTCTTGGCATCTAAGGTCAGCTTACATAGTCAAGCATAAAAACAGACAGTATTATACATGTAATAGTTATGGGCTAGGCAGCTAACTGCGGCTACAAAAGCAGCATCAGAAGATTGTCCTTTTAAGGAGCCTGAGGTGTGAATGAAAACAGGAGGCAGTGTTCTCAGTTTTGGTGTACAAAGTATATATATTGAGTGATTTGAATAAAAACAAACAACAACAGTATGATGAGAGACAAGATCATTGACTCAGAATAAATTAATTCCAAAATCATGAAGTCCATTGTCCTTTTTCCTAGCTCACCATCTTCAGATCCGGATGAGGATCTGATCCAACAGGGGGGAGAAAAAAAAAACGACCTAAAAGGTCAGAAGAACCCATTAAGTATTTTATCAAAAACAATCATGTACAAACATACAAATGAAATAATTAAATTTAGGCATTGGTTTATGCATAGATTCCTAATAATTTGACATGATCAAACATCTCAATAATCAGGTTAAATTAACCATAACTTAAATAAAGTAAAAACAAACAAAAATAAAAGAGTATCAATCATATTTGAAGCTACTCAATTTAAGGTTATCAATTTAAAGTTAAAGTCAAAGTGCACTTCAAAAATAAAGAAAAATAAAATAACTTAATTGTCAAATACTCAAGCAGAGTGAGAGAAAAAAAATAAATAAATATACTGCGCAAGATCAACTTAAGTGTATCCTGATGCATGCTCAATAATCCAGGTAGAAAAATCCAAAAAAGTTCAATCTGGTCCTCTGGACATTCAAAAAAACAAAAAGCAAAACAAAGCAAAAAAATATAGAAACGTTTCATCTCTCATCCGAGAGACTTCCTCAGTCTGAGGTGCTGTTTTCAGCTCAGTCTTTTAAATAGCACCTTCTCAGAGTGGATCAACCAGTTTGCTGCTGACAACCAAAACCAGCTGATCACATGCTCAAGAAGGACCATCAGCCTTACAATGGATCATTAGCACACTGATGGCTGTTTACTATTCACAGAGGGCTGAGTGATACTAGCAATCACAGCAGTGTAGGAGGGGGACAGTTGAACCCGGAGGCCTCCACCCCTGTTTAATGATGGACAATTTCTTTTCACAAAGATGGCCTCCTTTACTCCTCTCTCAAACCATCGTTCTTCTCTGTCCAGGATGTGAACATCTTCATCCTTGAAAGAGTGACCGCTGGCCTGGAGATGAGTGTAGACCGCAGAATCCTGGCCTGATGATGTTGATCTTCTGTGCTGGGCCATCCTTTTGGCCAGTGGCTGTTTAGTTTCCCCGATGTAAGACTGATCACAGCCCTCCTGACACTGAACAGCATACACAACATTACTCTGTTTGTGCCGGTGGACTGGATCTTTGGGATGAACCAGTCTTTGCTGTAATGTATTTTGGGGTTTAAAAGCCACTGGGATGTTATGTTTAGAAAATAAACGTCTCAGTTTCTCTGATACTCCCTCAACATACGGAATGACCACTGTTCTGGGTTCCTCCTTTTTACCTGATGGCTGACTGGAGTCCTGTTTGGGTTTCTTCTCTGCTTTCAGGAAGGCCCATTTAGGATATCCACATTGTTCTAGAGCCTGTTTTGTGTAGGATTTCTCCTTCTGCCTGGCTCCCGAGTTAGTGGGGATGCTGTCTGCTCTGTGATACAGAGTCCTGATGACTCCTAACTTGTACTCCAAAGGGTGATGGGAGTCAAACTGCAAATACTGGTCTGTGTGGGTGGGTTTGCGGTACACCTCAGTTTGCAAATGTCCTCTATCAGAGACTGAGACCTCACAGTCCAAGAAAGCCAACTTGCCATTTTTTACATCTTCTCGTGTGAACTTGATGTATTTATCCACAGAGTTGATGTGGTCAGTAAAATGTTGGACTTCCTGAGATTTAATTTTAACCCAGGTGTCGTCAACATACCTGAACCAATGACTTGGTGGTGTCCCTGAAAAGGAAGTCAAGGCTCTCTTTTCTACCTCCTCCATGTACAGGTTGGCAACAATAGGAGAAACTGGAGACCCCATAGCACACCCATGTTTCTGCCTATAATATTGCTCCCCATATGTGAAGTAGGTTGACTGCAGGCACAGTTTCAAGAGTTGACAGTTGTTCTGTGGAAAGCGTGGTCCTACTGCTCAGAGTGGTGTCTGATTTTAATCTTAAACTGACCACCTCTACTGCATCATCAACAGGAATGCACGTAAAGAGTGATGTGACATCAAAAGAGACCATTGTTTCATCAGTCTCCATGATGACATCCCTCACCTTATCCACAAAGTCCATGGTGGTGTTCTGAGCTGCCAAATAAAGGGATGAGTACAGACGCCAGATATTTGGAAACATTGTAAGTGACAGATTTAATCATGCTCTTAAAGGTACACCTTGTTTGTGGATTTTAGGTAAACCATACAGACTAGGTGTGGCCTCCCCTGGGTACAGTCTGTGGTACAGAATACGGTCAATAGCCTTGTCCTGCTCCAAATTTTTCAGGCAATCTATTAACTTCTTCTTGTAACCACTTCCTGGATCTCTTTTCAGAGCTTCATAAGTGTTTAAGTCACTAAGGAGTGTCATAACTTTCTCATGATAGTCTTTCTGGTTCAAAATCACTGTGCACCTTCCTTTGTCTGCTGGGAGAATGATGATGTTTTTGTCCTTGCTAAGAGTGGTGAGTGCATCCCTCTCCTCTCTACTGATGTTGGAAGGTGGTGGTTTGGCATTGCTGAGGCAGGATGAAACTTTGATTCTGAGCTGTACTGCTTCACCCTCTTTCATTTTGTTGTTGCGGATGCCTGATTCTGTGGCTGTGATCATCTCCACTTGAGGAATTCTACTTAGTGCAACCGCAAAGTTCAGTCCCCTGGCAAGAATCTCTGTCTCCGGCTGGGTGAGCTGTCTGTCAGATAAATTCTTCACCCACTTTTCTGTCTCCCTGACATGTAATTGACTACTGGAGTGTTGTCCTAAACTGAATGTGTTGTTATTGGAATAATGATGGTGTTGATGAGTTATTAGTAAGTTAAACTTATTTTGTTGTCGAGTCTTGGACTTGACATGCTGTGCTAAGCGTGCCTGATCTGTACAGTCCAACACTTGCTGAAGTGTGGTCTGATCTAGACACATAGTTAGTTTCTGTTTAATGTGCTCTTCTTTGGCCTTCAAGGCCTCAATAGTAAAATTGGTCTGTCTCACCCGTTCATTCAGCAGCTGGGTTTGTGCCTTCTGAAGGATCTTGCTTGCCCGGTGGTAAGACCCAGTTCTTGTAAGATTTTATTAATTAGTTTTTCCATGTGCGTCCTTCTTCGCTTTTGACTGGTTGTGTCAAGTTTTGGATTTGAAAGTAAATTAAAGTCACCTGCGCATATACATGTACCACTTGGTTTTGCAGCTATCAGGCCAAATAACTCCTTTAAAAATATATATACTACTATCAGGGTGTGCATAGACATTACACAAAGTGACCTCTTCTTGTTCCAGTTTCCTCTTCAACAACACAAATCTGCCTTCTTTATCTACATGTTCTTCTATATAGTTGAACTTAATATTGTTTGATATTAGAATAGCTACACCTTTTTTTTTCCCAGATCTGTGCGAGGCAAAATGTGTGTTTCTGTAACCCAACCCCTTTAATTTTTTATGTTATTTGTTTGATAAATGTGTTTCTTGCAATAAACCAATTTCCACCTTCTCTTGTTTTAACTTTGAGATAACCTTGCTTCTCTTGATGGGATTTTTTTATACCATTCACATTTAACGACTGTATTTTATAACACTGCATACCTTCTAAGCATTATTAATATATTTTCTTGCACCTTTGTAACAACACTCAGCCCTCTGAATACACCAAAAACAAAAACACATAATGACTGAACTTGTCATAATAATGAACATATCTTTCAAAGATGAGGATCTTTTATTCCTCTTGATGTAGGGGAAACTGCCACTAGGTGGGGCCCCTACTTAGTCGCTTACTTAAAGAGAGGAAACTGAAAATGAGTCACCTGCATCGTTCATTCATCATCACTCCTGTTTGAAGGGAATCCTATTCCTCACCTTCTTCCTGGATAGAGGATGATCAGCCAGCAACATTCAGAACAGTCCTAATCAATTAGTCTTAAAGTCTGGTGAGGCTACGAGCTAACGCTAAAGCCGGTAAACTCCCCATGCTGTCTCTCTTTCTGTCGAACGTCCGCTCGTTGGACAACAAGATGGATTTACTTCGTCTGAGAGCGGGTGCCTCAGAAGAGATGAAGAAGTGTGCAGTGCTTTACCTCACAGAAACGTGGATTACAAGCGAAACGCCGGATACAGTCTTCCAGCTGGATGACAGACTCTTTTTTCAAGCGGATCGCTGCAGCGAGCTAACGGGGAAATCACGGGGAGGCGGAGTGTGCATTTACGTGAGTAAAAGTTGGTGCACGAACTGTACTGTTGTAAATAGCTCATGCTCGAAGGCTTTGGAG